TACGTCAAAATATGTGTCGTAATTGTGTTGTCATCACAATTCAAGAATTTTGGTTAAATGATTTACTGGAAGACTGCCTAGTATCACTACGTGATTTCAAATACTATCATCAGGATCGATCTATGTCAATCCAAATAAAGGGTGAGCTACAAGCACTTTACATGTTTGGTATAATACATATTGCACTTTTAATATTACTTTGTGATCAATATTTATAATGATAAAACGTTTTCTTTGCTAGTAAAAATGTTATTTCTTGTCCATCTTGCTATCAGCTGGCTTCGCATGTTTTAACAGACGTAACTGTTAGTTCTTTGTTCGCATTGTTAACAACATTGTTATACCGTTGCTAGATCATCGACCTTTTACATATATTGACATTTGCTTATAAACTAAAAAACATTTTTTCTTGTAGAACATTGTGAAGGATAGTTCAACGTCTACGTAACCTACTCATGTGACAATTCAATGAAAAAACCTTGTTTAAATCAATGATTTGTAATTTTATTTAGCGTAATAAACATTTCTATGTGTAACGAATCTTTGTTTTAATTCCGGTGATCGATCGGTTAACGTTATGTCTCTATAGCACTGAATAATTTTATAACAATAATGTAGAATCGCAGTAAACACTGTAGGTATGTATTCTCTCCTGGTTTCTCAGTGATTTCCGTTGCAGTATTGAGAGAACTATTACGTTAAAACTAGTTTGCAAAAGTGTTATAAGATTATGGTGATATTTTGTGGAAAAGCGTGAAATTCAGAGGAAATTTTGTGTAGAAACCCGAAGGTCAGAGGAAAGTTTGAGGAAAAGCGCAAAAATTCACTAATAAATATAAGCCCACTTCCCCTAATTGTTATAATCCAATTTGCAACTATTATCATGACTTGCCTCAGTCTTAGTCGCGATCGAGCGAAGAAAGTTCCCGTTCGAGCAGACTTTTTTTCCCCAGCATAAAAAACAACGAAATACAATCTCATCGCGATAGTCTGCACACTGTACTGCAGTCATTTGATTACCGGAGTCACAGGTACAGGTACTTCTTAGTAGTCTCATCTCTTGTAGCCGCTCAATAATCACCTCTTCTCTAAAATCCGCTGTAAGCCGATCGTATGTGAGCATCAGGTGTTGGACTTGGCGCCGTGACCTTGAAATTCCTCAAACGCTTCTGATTGGCTCGTTCATAAATTAGAGTCTCGCTGAAAATGATTTTTAAAAATGTGAAAGGACAACAATTTCTTCGAATATAATGTTGGTTTCATTCATCTGACAAATGCTAAACTGTCTTAATGGACTGTTCCTTCATATTTCACATAATTTCATCTACTAGTTTCATTTATGAACAAGTCAAGTAAACATAATTATTTATTCATAAGTAATCTTAAGATAAAACTGTTATCACAGCCTAAAAATGAAAAATAAACATTCAATCACGCTGTGGTTTGTGCTATTAATGTCAACAGATATAAGTAGTATGTGTCATCAATCGAAAGTGAAATGCTTGGCGGAAGAAGGTTAAAAGGATCGAAGAAAAGAGAATGAGAACAGAGAATCATTGGTGTGGAAACGTAGGAACAATCAGGTCTGAGATGAATGAATGACATTTTGCAATTGAAGAAGTTATTGTGTAATTCTCAAATTTTACTAAGAAATTCTGGTTTTTTCTACTTGTGCTCTCGTTCAATACAACGCATATTTACATTATATATTCTTGAATATGTTAATGATAGGAATGTTTAAAGTATATATATAACAAAGAACTGATGGATCTATGAAAGTGGGGAATTAATGAGGTATTTGGAAGAAAACCCCATATTGATTTGGCTTTTTATATTATAGTGAGGGGACTGGTACTTCCTGGGTTATTTGATACTGTGGCGGCCAGCCAGCTTCACAGTCTAAGATGTAAATAGTGAGGTTTTCAAGCCGTGAGTAAATTCTCGTAACACTAAGATCCTTACAGTTAAACGATCACGGAGAAGCGGCCAATGTCATGTTCGTCTAGTTCTTCATTATTGATGTGATTATATATATCATGTTGCTACGTTATCACTAGTTTAAGTGACATAACATTGTGTTGATGGCGATGATAGAAATATTTTATGCGTTGTTCTGATTGTAATTTTCACATGTAAGACACGATAACGGTCATTGGACATTTACAAAAGGTCTTATACTGCTTATCATAAATACTGTGTCTATATGATTGTTACACAATAAAACAAGACCGGTTGGAAGTGACAACAGCATTTACTTAAAGTAATTTTTCTACTGGAACAATCTTTAACAGTTTAGAAATGAAACTAGAAACCGATTTATTAAATTATGGGCTTTATAATTAATGTACAATCTAAAACTAGTTTACATCTCAGCAGTAGAACAATCGTTCTTTACTAGTATGAGATTATTATGTCTTGAAATGTCCTAAATTAGCCTAACAGAATTCCGGATATAATTATTCTACGGCACGTCTACTATACTGTCTCTAGCCTAGATTCTTAGATTTTACGAATGATACGTTAAGAGCAGGACAACTTACACTCCTATCTGTAGATGTTTCTCTTTCCCCAGAGTTGAGTTCAAAAATAAGTCTTTGGATGAACTTCTTTTATTATTATTGTTATTATTATTATTATTATATTTCAATCACAGAGCTCAGCCAGCACAGACTCTATTCCTAACACACATTTTCAGAACGCATAACACACCAAATAAACAATTATTGCTTTGAGCGTAATCATACTATACTTTCCAGCGAAGAAGCAAACAGTACATAATTAACAAGTAATAATTAAAGAACGTTAAACTGTATAGCAACAGTAAATAAGTTCACTGAAAGCTTACAATAAGGGCAATATAGGAATACAACACAGTTATCTACTAATCATACAGTAGAAACAGAAATGATAGTAATCTGGAAATAATTCCAAAAAGTTCTAACTTCTTCAACATTTATCCCGTTATAACAGAAATTTATCATACGCACACACACACAAACAGACCACCTTTTCACGTCTGAAATCAATTCAGGGTAAAAGTGTGCTTCATCAAATCCCAATATAAATGTCTAATACTATATCATAGTTGCTGTAAGGTCTTAGAGTAATGGATTTGATTCCTAGTGAAGTAAATGTCAACAGTATTGTGTATAATTACAACTGGAAAAAATGTTAGAATCTTGAAGAATAATAACAAAAAGAAAGTTAGATTATTTATTTAGAAATCAATAAGAACACTTTGAAAGAATCCCTTGTTGTATATGCTACTTATATTGATATAAGTAGTATATAATACGAGTCTGGCAGTAGAAGTTTGCGAAGATCAAGAAGGGAAAAACGAGAATAGAAAGCATTTGGTACTGATATACAAGAACAATGAAGTTGAGGACAATTAATGAACACTTTGTAAATTATGTATTAAAGTATGGTTTTTCTATTTTACCAAGTAACTCTGTAAAGTTATGGTAAATATAATTCGGTTGTCCTCACCTGTGTTCTCTTTCACTACACAATTACATAAATGCGTGAATCCAATTAATTTAACTATAATGGATAGAGTGGAATAACCTGACCCATAGAAATTATTTACTAGTAAATGACTTTTGTATTTATACTAAGTACAAACACTACACTCGTCAATCACTATTTTGTTTTTATTAATTAGTCAATTAATATGATTTGATATGTTTCGAAATACATTGACTAATATAATAATATATACAACTAAAAGTATTCATTTAGAAGTCTACCTAAAGTTTTTGCTGATGATGTCGTTCAGAAGAACGATGAAAGCTCCACGACTAAACCATTCAGCTCAGAGAACAAAACTTCATCGAAAGTATTGATTTTTTAACTAGCTCATATTTTGACAAGATCAATATCACTGAAATACACTTGTGTTTATTGATAATCTATGACTTTAACTAATCATTACATAACACAGTAAATCAATAAAAAGACTTACTACATTTCACATTAAACAATCAACTTTCATTACGTAAACAGAAATAACAGGTTATTTATCTGGAAACAACTGGAAAGAGTTTCCCAGAACAGAGTTCGATAGAGAATGCTGGTGGGAGGCCTATACTCCTCCATGAGTGATAACAGACGTAAGTTAGTAAGTTATCTGTGATCATAATGCTTTGATTATTTTTTCCAGGAAATTAGCTGAATGAAGCATCTAATGACTGAATGTTTATTTTAAAATTTTTAAAAGTATACAAATTTACACTATTTCATCCTAAAGAAGTATTGTAGTGAATGAGAACACAAGTGGGGACAACCAACTATACTTGAAATCGAAATTAGTAAAATTTGAGAATTATACAATAAATTCTTCAATTACAAAATGTCAATCAATCATCTCAGAGTTGATTGTTCCTTCATTTATACACCAATGATTCTCTGTTCTCATTCTCTTCTTTTCGATCTTCTTAACCTTCTTCCACCAAGCATTTCACTTTTGATTGATGATATATACTACTTATATCTGTTGACATCAGTAGAACACACCGCAGTACCTGTAGAAATCACTTGCTCCATACAGAAATTATTTGGACTGATGATTGTGATTTCAAGAATCACTAGGTTTCCGTATCCATAGGTTACTTATATATAACCTCACACGTGTGTAACCTATTTTTGTATGACCATAAATACTGATTAATGCTTGACTAAAAGGGAGTTGGCTTACCCGCCATCTCCACTGCGCGTCGTTTCGCTTCACTCTGTTCCATTTGCTTCATATACAAAATATATGTATTCAAAAGTCCATTCTCGTTACTTGACTTATCTAAATCCGTTATTGAATAACGTGATTTAAGTCGATGATTATATACAAGGATAGGCAATAACAAACATTCATACGATCAACTTGGAATCAGTTCCCAAGCCACTAAAGTGGAGAGCACGTCAACAAACATCGTCCAGTCTAAATGACGACAAAATAAAGAGCCCAATAAATAACAGTGGGAAGACACAAGTAAAACAACACCAAGTGAATTCAGTCAAATAAAGTCATAGTTGATTGTTTATTTTATTCTTTTAAATTAAACAAAATAAGTCGTTAAAACAAATGGTTACTATGTGAAAATGAAAATGAATGGAAAAAGACTCACGTATACATCATCATTGAGGTAGTTAGTTTATTCAAGTTTATGAATAAAATAAGTTTTAATCAAACCCCAAATAGAACATGAATAAAGCACATGAAAGAGGAAAGTAATAATGACAAAAGGTTAAAAGTTGTTATCATCTTTGTTTAAATCATAGTTATACTTATCTTTATTATTATTATTATTACTACTATTATTATTATCATGTATATGATATGAAGGTATATATTGATTAGGTAAACATGTAATTGATTCATAGGATTCAAATGGTTCTTTTGCATATACATTGGCGACATGTTTATGTTGATAATAAAGAAGATGACATTTTTCTTTTTCTCTATTTAACAATGGGAAAGATTGTCTAGTTTTAGTCTAAAATATAAACAAAATTTATAAAATAAAGATATGAATGGAGATTGTAGAATTTTCATAGTTTAAATCACGAATTGATGGTTGCTAGACCATTATGGAAAGATGGAAGCACTGGATGGACGTTTCGTTTTATTATGTGATTCTTCTATAAACTTTCTATACTGCTTAATAGTGATTAGCTTCACACTACAATTCCTGGAATCCTAATAAGAAGCCGTGATTGGTGGAATTTAACCATGTCGGGAGTGTGACAATTACCCACTGAAGGGATTAGTTGAAGGGTGCACAATATTGTGAATTAGTTGCTGCTTGATATGTACATTATTGAATGCCGGCCTAGTAGTCTATATGTTAAAGTTCATGCCTGAAACCAAATGTCCTGAGTTTGATCCCCACTCATGTAATCACGTATCATCACCTCTAAGTTTCTCATACTACTAGAGACGAAATGGACCTAGAGTGCTTCCTGGTCACAATGAAGGTCTATTTAAGATCATTTCAAGATATAGACTTGAAATATTTTTTTGTTTTATTGAAGTGTTATTTTAGAAAAATATTAGGACCAGTAAACCTAATACTCTAAAGGGTTATGCAATTTCGTAACATATTGTAATGATTTGCGCCATACTACTGACTTACATTCCCCTCTCGATACCAGAAACATCAAACAAATCATATTTTCAAAAATTCAGCTATCATTTAAATGAAATGCATGATGTTAGTACACAATGTATACCGACAAGTGAACTGACATTTACACTTACCATCTGTTTTAAAGTGATGAATTACTGTATATTGTATACTGTATATTCATCATTATGGTTCAAATTACGAACTGACCTTAGCTAGACCACCAGTGGAAACCTGGAAACATTGGATGGCTATTCCGCCCCATCATGGCATTCCTCAAAAGTGCACACAAACTTCCTCATTCTTCCATTCCTGTTGCTACTCTGACTGCTCCTGCTTTTTCCCTTCTCCTCATGTTCCTCTTTTGTCAGTAAGAATCCCACTTCCAATTGTTGATACATGCTATCTATATCTTTCCGTATATGTAGCACACACCAGAATCAATGAACGGAATCTGTTTAGTACTCCCAAACTTGATTGGAAAAGTTCTTTTGATTCCTAGATGTTGTTTGTGGTTTTAAGAAATCTTTACAACAAATGGCATAGATCCAGTCATTCCCACCTGGTTTATTTTTGGTCATGCTAAGTTCGTTGTTAGAGAAGTTAAAAGCGTGGCTTAAAATTAACTGAATATGCATGAATATTACATTTCCCTCTGTCCTACCTCATGAGTGTGGAAAATGACAAAAGATATTCCTAGCTTACCGGTAATTGAAGCATCACTCGTGCATTTCGATATCGCCGAGTAGGTAATAACTTATTTTGGGATAGAATACTAGGTAAAATAGCAAATTGATTGATAAGCTAGTAAATCTTCATCAGCTAAGGTGGTTGGGATATGCGTTCGTATGCTCAACCACCGCTTATCTCAACGAGTGATGTTGTATGGCGTAGGAGTAGGTTGAAAGAAAGCTAGGGGCGGTCAAATCAAAATTTGTCACCAGTCCACAATTAAACTGGTTCATGTTAATAGATTGAAGTTTGTATGATTGTCGTAACTAATGGTTACAGATCCTGAATGACATGGCTGAAAATCTCTCGCAATAGCATCGGTACATCCACTCTTTGTCTTCTCCTGGATGCTATATTTCTAAAGTCCTCATAGTTTTTTATTTAACTAATTTATATTATCTTCTTGAGTTGTATAATCGATTTCTAATCTTTCCTATCACCACTAATACTGTTGTTACCTCTACTATTGCAAGATTTGCCTTAATAATTTCACATTGCCATACCTACATCGTATAACAAGTTGAAACTATGTGTACACGTATCAGGTTCTGCCCTGTATTTGAATGACTTGACTGACTGATTGGTATAAATACATTAATATTGTATTCACCATCATGAAATTTTATTGATTTCAAAAATCAAATTATTCATTGGTTTGAAACCATAGAACTAGTTAACAAGCTTCGGGCATATCTGTAGCATTTGTAATGTTCAGTGTATTGTATTCAGCACTTTGAGTTATTTATCAGTTCATTTAATGAGTGCCGCATATTAGGGGATAAATTCAACTAAAGACTTTATTTCAAGTACCATACTTCTTTTCTTTTCATCAGGTATGTTCGCCTGAATTACACTGACAAGTTCAAAGTAGACAACCGCTGATAAGTCTAGAAGCCTTTAGTGAAAACTATACTATAATATGCAATTTTCACCCACTAAATGAACATGAAAACGTTCGAAAATGTTGTAGATAAGTTTAATCGTACAAAGATTACCAAGATTAAAATGAATCATCAGATATACCTCTAAAATAAAAACAAACAATTGTCACTATCAGATAAAACATGCACTTTCCACTAAATGATTGGAACAAAAAGACAGTTTAAAATATTAGTCACCACAAAACATCATTATGTGAAGGCATCGATTGGCAAAGCAAAGGCAGCATTCCTACAACTGAAGCATATTTACAATTCAAAACAACTGTCGGCCAATATCAAAGTCAGAATCTCCAATACGAACATCAAGACAGTTCTACCATGCGGAGCTGAAACTTAGAGAACTAATACAACCATCATCGAAAAATACAAGTATTCATAAGCATTTATCTAAACAAGATACTCGATGTCCGTTGATCGGAGACCATCAGTAACAACCTACTTTGGCAGAGAACGAACCATTTCTAAAACTTCTCAAAATTCCTAACTTAAAGTTGTATTCAACCAATCAACATTGATTAATATTTACAAATTCATCAGCGAATAGATGACCCGCTTGTAAGCTTGAAGAAAAATGAGTTCAAAAACGTTTTTTCGTAACCATCTCAACACATGTTCATGAGCGCGTACGGATAAGCACGTTTGATAACGGTCAACGTAACTAGCGTCAAAGGAACAGTTACATCAACAAACATACATAGATAACTCCATGATTGGTATACTATCCTTAACTTTTCTTCCCTCAATATTGGCTTCGTCAAATTATCACTCTCATACAACTTACAGGCTTTCTGTGTCTCTAGTGATGAGAATTAATATTAGTAATACATAAGTGTATATTAATTCATTTGTGTTTCACACTAACCTAGTACTCAAAACTTATACAAACACTTCAAACCTTCTTATCAGTTTTCAGACTTCATATAATGACTGCCTCATCTCATCAATACTTTTGAATTTTATTTTTAAACGACCCTAAACATATAGTTATTATTAGATCGTGGATGCTCATTGCTGAAGAGTCCCATACTAGGACGAAACTGCCGTTCAGTGCTTCTAGGTTTTCCATGGTGGTCTAGCTTCAATTAACTCATGATTTCAACTATTGATATAGTTATTATTGCTAATCGTTGTTATTTCAATTCTTTTCATCATCAATCTTTACTACTTCATATTACATCATACTCCAGACGTTGCACTTTAATACGACATACGGTTGTAAGCATCTGAAGAGAAAATACGAAATACAATAAGTTTAAATTATTCCGCCTTAACTGTTGATTTTGACTTGTTTTTCAAATACATAATCATCGTATTTCACATGGATAAACTCAAGCCTCATCTATTTTACTTTCAACAAGTAAGTACACATACAACTCACCTCAAAGCTGAGTATATATAAATCAGTAATTAATTGTATAAGTAACACATAAATGATAAAAAGTGGGTTAATAAAGTTTATATTAAGTGATTTACACTTCAATTAGTCATTTAATCGTAAATGATTCAGTACAAATCAATCTATATATTTTTATGTTAGTAGTTAAATTCATGAGTCAATTAAAGCTAAATCACCATGGGAAACCTAGTAGTACTGGGCGTCCGTTTCATCCTAATATGGGACTCCTCATCAGTAGCCATTCCCGATCTCGCTCCGCGAGATTCGAACCCAGGATCTATCGGTATCATACGCGAAAGCTTAACCTCTAGACCATTCAGCCGGCATCCATAATGGTCTAACTTCAATTGACTCATAAATTCAACTATCTAATTACTATAATATCCACAAAAATCCCCCTCTGATTATATATTTTTATGCTGGGTATTTTGCATTATACTAATAGGAAGTTGAGAACTGATTGGTTTATTGTGTTTTAAATATCCGTTACAACATGAACTATTGCGTAACTTGACTATAGGAACTAAATTGAATTATCTATTTAATAAATAAAAAAACAGGAATAGTTTACGCTTAACCTGATACAACATTTAATTACATACACATCAACAATAATAACAACGACAAAATTTAAAAACAGACATTAACTAGATACATGAATTCAATACAACCACGAAACCATCCACCATTTCAGGGAAAAATGAAATGCATTTAAAAATGCTTTTGATAGAGTTTTATTCTCTGAATTGGATGGTCTAGTTGTGGAGCTTTCATTGTTCATCTGAACGACATCATCAGCACAAATTTCAAGTAGAAATCTTCTACGATCAAACCATCCAACTCAGAGAACAAAACTCCATTAAAATCATCCATCCGAACTACAAATCTCCTCTACCATTAAAAATGTTGACATTAATTTTTATGGATGCTATAGAACGGTAGTAAGTAAGTAAATAAACTCAACATTTCACGAAGTTGCGCGACCATCCTCCATTGTACTGAAGTAGACACCTGTTTCTACTCGACATGGATTAGCTCCACTGGTCACAGCTTCTCACTAGAACTCCGAGAATTCCCTCACGAAGCTAGTCACTAGTGAGCACATGGTAATTATCAGTCTAGGGGTTGTGGAGATTGTTAAGTTTTTGATTGAAATCATGAACCGATTGATGTTAGACCATCATTGAAAACCCGGAAGCAATCTGTTCTTTTACAAACACCATGACATATTGACTTCAATAGTTTTATTAAATCAAATTTATATTTAAGAGTCTAGAGGAGATACGGTTTATGGAAAAGGT